CGTGCCCAGTGAGACCTGGAGGCAAATGCATGGTGGGCAGGGGCCAAAGCCTTCCCTGAGCGCTGGGAATGGCAAGTTTGGCAGCGCTGCCTGCCCTCGGAGCAGCTTTCCTGCTCCCGTTGGGCTTGGAGAGCTCTTCCCAACACCCCGGTGAGTCCCAGCCCAGGTGTGCAAACTCCTTTCTGCTTCCAGGGTCGGTTCACCATCGCTGCGAAGCACCACATATCGATAGCGGAAATCTATGAGACGGAGCTGGTGGACATCGAAAAGGTAAACATGGGGTAAGAGAGGGGAATGCCGTAGGGCAGGTGGCTGGCTGTCAGGGCACAAGGAGGCACAGCTGTGCATCCTCTGGCTTTCCTAAATGCCACCTTCAATTCAAGCAGAGATTTGGAATAGGTCAAAACCTGGAGGCTTCTTGGCTCCGGAGGGCTTTGCTGATTCATCGCAACCCCGGCAGATGAGCTCGGAGCTGTCATACCTGCTCAGGGTGACGTACCCTCAGCAGGTCACCCTTTGCCCTCAGGCTGTTCTTGCTTCTTCCCTGAAACGCGCCCGCTGCTCCTCTGATGTCTGCTGGCTGCCGTTGCGGTGGCTTTAAGCCCCAAATACCAGCGATGCTTCCTGGTGTGTGTCAGCCCTGCGCAAACCCAGGAAGATGCTTGGAACAGCCTTGACGCTGCAGCTAATGAAAGGGAGAAAAAAAAAAAAAAAGGCTTTGGGCTTGCGTGGGCATCTGGGAAGTGCGAGAACAGTTTGACTGGAGCCATCTGAGAAGAAATCGCCGCTACGGATGGAGGTAGCGAAGCCCTCCGGCTTCCTGGAGGCTCAGGTGCTTGCGGGGTCCCGCAGGGCTGCCTCCACAGATGCTGTTCCTACCCCTGTGGCTCCGGATTCTGACTCAGTGGGGTGGTTTTTTTTTTTTCCTTGGGGGATAAACGAGGTTCATTTTAAAGGGAAACAAGTTTTTTCCACATCCTGCATGGATCTAATTCAGGCTTCTGCTCATTTCCCGAGTTAATTTAGGGCTGTTCTTGACACTTCTCCCAGCAAGCCTCTCCGACACCCTCCTTGACAGCTCCTGGGAGTAACCCATGGTGCCGTCTTGCCCTGTTCTCTGATGGGTTCCTTGGAGAGAATAACATAGGGATTTGCCCTCGAGGCAGGACTTTGGAGCTCTGGGAACAGGCTGAGCTTGCTCAGCTGGATTTGTGAGCTCCCATCAGGAAAACCTCCTCTTCCTCGGCACCGATCCCATGCGTTCTGTGGCAGCGATACGATTCGTCTTCAAATTTAGCTGCCCAGTAGGTCCCCAGCCTGTTGGCAGGAGATGGGTGTGAAACGCGCCCACAGGCAGCCAGGAGATGAGCCGCCCCCTTAAAGAATGGGCTGAAAAGAGAAAAATAACTTTCCTCTGGGGAGGGAGCATATCTTTGCTCATCCCGGTAAAGCTGCAACGTGCCAGGATGCTTGCTGGGCTGGCATCTCACCCCCAAGCCCTCTTGCCGCACTGACCTTGTCTCGGTGGGGAGCTGCCGGCCAGTTGCCACCTTGGGATGGGAGCCGGCCGCCGCAGCCAGCACAGATGGCAGTGCGGGCAGCGGAAGCTGCGTGGGCGGCTGGGAGCAGGCGTGCGCCCTGCAAGGCCAGGCTGGGGAGGATTCTCCTGAGCATTGCTACAGGCTCTGTGGCTCCCATATCTTTGTATTTTTATATGTATATATATGTATTTTTTTGGCGGTGTGCTACGCCCTGACCGTGTTTGCCTTCCTCCTAGGCGATAGCCCACTATGAGCAGGCTGCGGATTACTACAAAGGGGAAGAGTCCAACAGGTAAAGGCAGAGCAGCCCTGCCCGTTCCCGGCACTGCAGGAGCTGCCGGAGCAGCTCTCCCCATGGGATCGGTGCTCCGGCACGGCGTGGGCTGGGTCAGGAAACAGATGGTGGCCGAGTTTCTGTCTCTGAAGCGACATCCCCCTCTGAAGCAAGCAGCCGATGGGTGTTTTCACTGCTGCTTGCTTCCTTTCTCATCCCTGCCACCGGTTTCTGAAGCTTTCTATGTGCCATGCTGGGGGCAGAAGAGAGCTCCCGGGCTTTTGCCCCCCACCATGGGGAACCCCAGTTCCCAGTGTTTGGGTGGGAACTGGGGTGTCAGCGGCGTGGGGGGGCCTTGCCAGTGGGGTTACGGCTCCGTGGGCAGTACAATACTCCTGGCAGAGAGCCCTGCCCTGAGCTCTCTCGGCTTTCCTTTCCCCACAGCTCTGCCAACAAGTGCTTGCTGAAAGTGGCCACTTACGCGGCCCAGCTGGAGCAGTACCAGAAAGCTGTGGAAATCTATGAGCAGGTCTGTGCCTCCTGCCCAACACACGTCTCGGGAGAGCATCCTCCGGCAGAGCTCCCTAAATAATTCGGGAAATCTCCAATCCCCGTCCCCATCCCGATTGTCTTCTGCAGGTGGGCACCAGCGCGATGGATAGTCCCCTGCTGAAGTACAGCGCCAAGGAGTACTTCTTCAAGGCGGCCCTCTGCCACTTCTGCATTGACATGCTTAACGCAAAGGTGGGGGACAGGGCATGGAAACACCCCTGGCACCGGCCAGTGGAGGGTTGGGAAGGGGCTGGGGGGGTCTCTCCTACCCTCCGGGCTAGCGGGGACACGGGGATGCTGCCTCTGCTAGAAATAAGCTCCCAAAACGAGCCCACCCATGGGAGCTGCTCCCCTCATGGGTGCTCCTCTTCCTCGTGCCCCTTCCACCTCATGCCCCTTCTGCCTCATGCCCTTCCTCCTCACGGCCCTTCTTCCTCCTCCTCCCCTCCAGCTGGCCGTGCAAAAGTACGAAGAGATGTTTCCAGCCTTTACGGACTCCAGGGAGTGCAAACTGGTCAAGGTGAGCAGCAGAATTCCCCTCCTTCCTCTCAGCTACGTCACGGGGACGGAAACGCCGCCGGGATGGCTTCCCGATCCTGGGGAGCGTGATAAAGGGCCGGGGGCTGGGATGAGCTGCAGCCTGGTTGCTCCCCGGGAAGCTCCTGGCTGCGGTGGGCTCGGCTCTGGCCAGCCCAGGCAGCTCTGTCCCCCCCCACCGTGTTCCAAATCTGTTCTTGAGGAAGACGGGAGTGAAGCCAAAGTGAGCAGAGGGTTTTTGGGAGGGTTCCCCCTCCTCGGGGGAGCGGAGGGTTGGGGGGGGGGTGTCCCCTCACTCATCCCCCTCCCCTTCCCTGCTTTTGTCTTCTAGAAATTGCTGGATGCTCATGAGGAACAGAACATCGACGGCTACACCGATGCGGTAGGTTTAATGCTGGTGCCAGTAAAACGCGGGAATTCACCCCAGACACGAAGGTGGAAGGAGCCCCCTCCTCCCCCTCCAGCTTCCTCCCAACTAACGCCTTCATCCTCCTCCTTCTCCTTTCTCCCCCCGCTAGGTGAAGGAATACGACTCCATCTCCCGGCTGGACCAGTGGCTCACCACCATGCTGCTCCGCATCAAGAAAACCATCCAGGGCGAGGAGGAGGACTTACGCTAGGCAGTTGCCCCCTGATCTTTGCAGACACACACCCCCCCTCAATTCCCCTTTTCTGGAGCCATTCCCATTTTCCGGAGCTGCCCCCGCTCCCCCCCTCCTTGTACATGGACCCCTCTTCAGATATTTAATGGTGTAATATATTCCCTGGGAGCCCGGGTTTGGAGCTCTCTCCCTCCACCCTCCCTTCGCTCCAGGGGTCCCCGTTCTCCCTGGGGGCTGCGGGTATAGTGTGTCCCCCCCGCCCAGCCCTGGGAGGGGTGAGGAGGAGGAGGAGGAGGAAGGGCAGGGGCTGCTGCATGCGATGGCGTCGACGGCAGGGCTTGGCTGGCTGTACTGCATCCTCGCAAATAAAAACGTTGCATGAGTGGAGATGGGCCAGGGCCTGTGTTGGGGGGGGGGCACGGACGGGGGGGGGGGGCCCCCCCCCCCCTTAACCCCCAAAACCCCCAGTGCTGGGGCTGACTTCACCGCCCCCAAAGGATAACACCATCCCTGGTCTCGTTAAGGCTGCCGGGGGGTGTTAATTAACGAGCCTGTGCCGTACCCTGCCCCACAGACCCCCACCCCCCGGGGTCCCACTCTTGCCCCGGGGTCCCTGTTGTGCCCCATCGCGTCCCCTAGGCGCCGCCCACTCGCTAACGCCCCGCCTCAGAGGCGGGGTTTCATATCACGCCCCGCCCCGGAGGCGGCGGAACGCCAACGATCGCCCCGCCCTCCCCCGGGG